TCTCATTGTTGGCAAACAGAAAAGCCCTTGATTTTTGAGGATTAATTTTATACCCTGCTACTTTGCTAAAGTAGCAGGATTTCTTGAGCTCAAAACTGAGCAAAACAGCAGGGCCTCATACCAAATGTGTAAATTATAGAGACAGAGACAGAGAGAAAGAGGGGTGGGGTGGGAAGAGGAGGAGAAAAAGAAATGGGTGGAGTCTGCTTCTGTGGAGAAGTGAAGTGTGAATGTGGAATTTGAAAATTAGATTTTTGTTTCACTCTCTTTTTGCCCAGAACAATGTCATGCAATGGATTGCTTTACTTCTGTTTCTTCTTTGCAGCACGAGACCTGAGTTAAGGGTGCATTTCAGCTGCTGTCTTGTATCCTAAAATACGTTTTCCCCTATACCTGTGCCTGTGACCATATGATACAAATATGCCTATTTGCACACCAGTACTTATCATCTGATGATATGAAAAAGCTTTGCATGTATCAAATCCTTGAGGGTCAAGCAATCAAAAAAAATGGAGAATTCTAACGCTGGGAATGTAGTTACATCTATTAAACACTCAAGGGATCAAGAAGTTTTTCATTGCCTTTCCCATCTGATTTTTTTTTTTTGTCAGTCATGGGGCTTGAACTCTAAGCCTGGCCACTGTCCTTCAGCTCTTCAGCTCAAGGCGAGCACTCTACCACTTGAGCCACATAGTGGTTTATTGGAGATAGGAGTCTCACGAACTTTCCTTCCTGGGCTGGTTTTGAACCTTGATCCTCAGATCTCAGCCTCCTGAGTAGCTAAGATTACAGGTATGAGCCACCGGCACCCGGCTCTGAATTTTTAACATAAGAAATAGAAATACCAAGCCAGGTTACTGGTAGTGCAGCATCAAATTCAGAACCATTTTTAATGTGAAGTAATGCGTAAGAACACAATGACCTTTGCTGATCAACTATAGAGATAGAAATTGTTCCAAGCCTACAGATGAGTGGGAGGTAGGGGGGAAGCTACTCATCATTTCCATGCTGTGTTTGTGTGTGTAGGTCTGCTTGCTGTGCTGAAATTACAAATGGGAGTTCCTGTTGATTCATGATGATGGCTAAATCAAGCCAAGTTTTCCTTGACCCCTTGGTTTTCTGGGGGTTTTTTCCCCTGAATTTTCTTCCATGACATGGTTTATACAAGATTATTTCCTCTGTTTAAGTTATGTCACATAAAGAAATCTTAGATAGTATTCTTTCAAAATCAGGTGATCTTTATTCACTGTATTTGATTCTGGTGCCCTGTATCTTGAGTATACATTTTTCTAATTTGGGGATGGAGAGGGAAATAACAAAATGCTGAAACAAGGATACAGGTTGACCCATTGTAACAATGACATGTACAAGACACTATGTTGAAAACAAACTTTATAACATGGTGGGGGGTTGGAGGAGGGAGGAGTTAGGGAGGTGGGGAGGCAAGGGATGGTAGGGGAAAAACAAAGGAGGGGGTAAAAATGCTGGATAGGAAATGTGCTCATTATCTTACTCATATAACTGTATCCCCTTTGTACAGTATCTTTACAATAAAAACACATAAAAATACCACATAGAATTTTTATAGGAAATTTATATTTATTATTAACTTAATTATTCATAAACTAATAAAATTAGTAATGGGACAGAAGCTAATATTCCAAAAATCTATATATATTTCATTTTATTTTTAAAATGTTTGCATTATCTCTTATATCTCTTAGTTGTACAGAGGGGTTTCAATTAGTTTATAATTGTAATATTTCCTGATCAATGTCACCTCCTTCATAATTTTTTGGAATTTCTTCCAAAGCCACCCATCTCTTCAATTCATATCAATCCAACACTACTTTTAGAATTGCTAATATGGATATACTTGGAAACTAGTTGTATGAAACATAGAGGGAAACATATGAAATGTCTTCAGAGTTATGGGATAGAAACTTTCTCTTTAAAGGACATTTTCTTATTTTAGTCTTTTAATTCTTATAGTAACACTGAGAGATGATTAAATTATGCCTACTTTATCAAACAGAAAAATAAGAACAGTGAATTGATGGCTTGTATTGTTTTATATATAGAGAGAGAGTGTGTGTTTGTGTGTATATAAATTTTTTATGACAGACAATGTTGTTGTCAGCCCAGTTGTATATGTAGGTGTTTGTGTGTCGGGTTGATTTTTTTCTGTATATCATAATTACCACTGTACATAAGGTAGACACTAGTGTCTACCTACACTAGTCACATCTGCAACTGTATTCAGGAGGCTGAGATCTAAGGAGTGTGTTGGAAGCAAACCTGGGAAGAAAAGTTCATGAAACCCCACTTCCAAAATAATCAGGAAAATGTCAGAGTGAAGGCAAGGCTTAAATGGTAAATTTCCAGCTGAATTAACAAGCATAAAGCTCTGAGTTCAAGCTCCAATACAAATATAATAATAATAGTAATATTAATAATATTAATTGACAATAATAAGTAAATTAAGAGTGGTTTTTACAAAAGCAATAAAGTAATATGTAAATGATTTGAAGATCGATTTATGACAAATGTTCTATTAAAGAATCTCTAGGCCAGCAATATTACCAATCTCCTTGAAGCCTTAGCCTTCTTTATAAACTTTTCATATATATATATATATATATATAATTTATAATTGAATACTTTATCATTTGTAGTCATTGACTTCAACAGTACAATTGCATCAGTATTGTATGTAATAACAAGACTTCAAAACTTGAAAATCATAAAACTTGAAAACCTTTCCTAGACCTCAGAAGTATTGCAAAATAAGCCCACAGAGGATGGATGTTTCAGTATAGAGTAAGCTTATGTGTCAATGTTTGTAAAGATCATTTTTTCAGATCTCTCCCACTTATTTCCACCTATGATAATCCTATTCGTTTTTTAATAATTATTATATAGGCATCATTAAGTTTGTGAAATCATTTACCTATCTAAATATTGCTAAATCGTGTTGATTTTTTCACTACTACTGTAGAAACTCTATTAATTACTCTTGTCCTCTTTATTTCAATATAATCAACTACATTTCCTACACATTTGTTACTTATTCAATTCTCTGTCAAATCTCAGGCCAGGAATCATCTATTTCCAGGAGACAACCGTGTTACCCAGGCCTATGTGTAATTTACACATACATGAGTTATATCTTCATTAAAGTAACATTTGTCTCTCAACCTTAATCCCAATATATAGACCATTTTTTCACCCTAATGAGTAAAAACCCTGGATCCACCATTTGCCAACTGAATGCCCTGGTTAAGTCTTTGAAAAGCACATTAGTTGCAAAGATGAATGATATTCCATGATAAAACTGGGCATTTTTGTCAAATATTAGTTCCTTGGGCCCTTACCAGACTCACACCTTCCTTCTCTATCTAGTTTGGGGCCTTGTGAAGTTGATTTGTAGGAACTTTATCTTCTGGCTTATGCTAGCTTCATCCACAGAAGTACACAGATAGAAGATTAAGGGGCATAAAGAAGGAAAGTGAAGTAAGAAGTCAGGATAATTTAGACCCATATTTCCTCTCTGCTACAAACCACGTGGCCAAGGGTTGCTTCATTCTTCTCTCAGGCAATGGTTTCTGTCAGCTAACTTGGTCATTACAGTGATCTTCTTTGTACAGTTCCAGTCATTGTTTTCTGGCCTTTCTCATAATGCATGTGGTACCATTATCCCTTGTTCATTCTCTTAAACCCTGTTTCTAGAAATACAAAGTTTCTTTGTTTTACCCTCTTCAAAAGTGAGTCAGCTGTTTCCTGTTGGAGCTGAATGATTCTGGCTGATATTTCATTAGATATCTTTTTATTATTAACAATATTCAATTCATAAACTGTCTTGAAAAAAAAAGTATTTTAATTTTGCTGAATCTGTTGCCAGACTGTATAGTACTCCAGAGCAAAGCCTTGGGTCACGTGTCAGTGCTGCCCTGATGTCGCATAAGTCACTTAACAAAATAGAAGCAGAAGATCAATGTTTCTAGGAAGAAAGGGGAAGAAATGGAAAGGAAAGGAAGGAAAAGGAAGAAAGGGAGGAAACAAAGGAAGGAGAAAAAAGTAAGGAAGATATATTATTCTGACTCCTTAAAGGTATTCTGGGGGGCTAGGAATGTGGTTTATTGGTAGAGTGCTTGCTTAGAATGCATGAAGTCCTGGGTTTGATTCCCCAGTACCACATAAACAGAAAAAGCCAGGAGTGGAGCTGTGGCTCAAGAGTGCTAGCCTTAAGTAAAAGAAGCTCAGGGACAGAGACCAGACCCTGAGTTTATGCCTCAAGACTGGCCAAAAAAAAAAAAAAAAGTATTGTGAATTTGTATTCTTGAATCTTAGTGCTAAGTTTTTACTGGATAATCTAAAAGGTCTTCTGTGGTGAATGTGAATTTGAGCAGGAAGCACAGTGCAAGATGACTTAAAGGAATGTTTATGGAAAATTAAGTTAGCAAATAAGCCATCAGTTTCAATGACATATAAAATCAAATTAGGATATGCATGCCAGTGTGAACTAGGGAGCATACAAGTTCCTATTTGGGCAATATATTTTAAAACGTAAATAGTTTCATATGTATACCTATGTAAAGAAAATATTTAGAGAAAAGTAATTTGAGAAGGAAGTGCTGTACAGATTACTAAAGTCAACATACTTTCCAATTATACACTTCATAGAATATTATTGTGGAGTGTCCATTTACAAAGAGATTATTTAAAAGTTGTAAAGGAGGCTATTTTTTGTTTCTCCATAAAAACTTTGTAGTTTTGTTTTTGTTTTTATAATTGGATGTGGTCTGATATTGGACATTACAGTCCTTCACTGCAAACCCAGCAGCAGTAGCTGTTATTCAAGGAAAGACAGTAGGCTTCCAATGGCCAGTCAGAAATTATAGATTATGCTGAGAATCTCAATTTGGAAATGGTTTATACTTTAAATGAAGAGGAGGATGGAAGTATATGAAATTATATAGTATTTTGGCCGCCCGCCGCCCCTCGCTCCGACGCGTCAGCCTCGGCTCCCGTGCGCCATGTCTGGGTCCTCCAGCGTCTCGGCGATGAAGAAGGTGGTTCAGCAGCTCCGGATGGAGGCCGGGCTCAACCACGTGAAGGTTTCTCAGGCAGCTGCAGACTTGAAACAATTCTGTCTGCAGAATGCTCAACATGATCCACTGCTGACTGGAGTGTCTTCAAGTACAAATCCCTTCAGACCCCAGAAAGTCTGCTCCTTTTCGTAGTCTAGTAAATCTTTCAAAGGATCTCCAGACTATTTCCTATGAACCAGTGAATATTCAAGAGAGAGAAAGTTGAAGCCTGTACAGAACCTTCTCTGTAACACACGTGCCATAAAATACCAACTTCTACTTAATGTCAGTCCTTAACATCTACCTCTCTGAATTTTCATGAATTTCTATTTCACAAAGTTAACTGTTTTATATACACTGGCAATGGCATACAATAAAATACTTAATGTAAAGGTTTTCTGTTTTGTCACTGATATTAATGTAAAGCTTTTCTGTTTTGTCCCTGATATGAAATACACTGTACATTATTCTGTTTTCAATAAGGAAGGGGTTTCTAGTGTTCCAGTTAACTTTGTTTGGAAGCTGTACTGGGGTCTGAAGTCAGAGCCTTGGATTGTTTGGCAGGTTCTCTACCATTGGAACCACACCCTTACTCTTGTATCTCTAACCCCTCTACTACTTTTTGTACTAGTATTACCAGTTATATCCAGAAGCCAATTAACAGATGAGATCATTTAACAAAGTTGTAATGGAGGAACCAAAAGTTAGCTTCAGTAGTTTGTAACTTCAAGTCATAATAAATCATTTTGCTTTAAAATTTTACCTTCTAGTGAAAGGCAAAGAATTACCTTAGAAATTTGACCTCCAGTTTAATTAAGATTGTGTGCCAGACACTTGGGATCCAAAATTTGTCTAGTATTAAATCAGGAATTACATGCTATCTATCACCCGTAATTTCTAACTTCCAAGTTCTTTGAGTATGCAAATGGGAAAATTAAACTGAATCTTGATCCCAGTTTATTCAGTTACCCTAAAGGAAGAGAATTAAGTACCAGTCAATGAAACTACAACTTCTAAGCCCATACTCAAAATACTTTTATTTGTTCTTGCTAAATAAAAATACAATAGAACTTAAAAAAAGAAATTACATAGTATTTTAAGCTAAAAAAGGATAAACCATTTTTAACAGCCTAAGGAAATAGATTAGGCAGGTATTATTACTAACATTACCAGTTGTTGCAGAAATAAATTAGTTGGTATTAGATTCTTTACCTCCAATCACTTAGAACATGGCAGCATCAGAATGAACTTGAACTCATTTGTGATATCTTTCCAACTCAGCAGGATAACTCTTCTAAACCTGAGTGGCCAAGATTTTACAGGTAAACACATTTTCCTAAATGTTCTTGCTGCTTAGAATCTCATGAATTTTCTTTAATAAAATATGTTTAATTTATATGGTTTTAACACCTTTTCAATAATGAGAGATTATCCTTAATGATTGAATACTTGTGAGTAGCTCCTCTGAACTTTCACTGTGGTTTGAGTCTCAGTGTCTTCATGCCAACTTCATTCTTAACAACACACTTAAACTATTGAATACTATTGCCTATAACAGTAATTCTGAATCCATAAGTTACAAGAGACTGTAGAGAAACAGCAAGCGATTTTATAGGGTCCTGAATATTCAGAAACAGAAAGTGTTATGTATAGACAGAGTAGTTTATATTACCAAAGGACAAAGTGTGAACCAATGCAACAGCAATGCTCACAAGACAATATGTTGGAAATGAACTTTACAACTTGAAGGGAGAGTTGGGGGGAGGGAAAATGGAATAAAAACAAGGGAGGGTATAACAATGTTTGACAAGAAATGTACTTACTACCTTAAGTATGTAACTGTAATCCCTCAGCATATCACTTTGATAATAAAATTAAATTAAAAGAAAGATAATACCTTAACATAAATTTTTTTACAAATTCCATGTATACACTGATCTGGAAAAGGTATACATAAATAGATATAAGTGAAAAAAAGTATTTCCATTGCAAGGTTCAAGATTCTCTTTCCTGTATCAAAGGAGACATGAATAAGAAAAAAATATAACACGCATATTTAATTTTTTTATGGCACATGAGTTTTCCCGAAATGAAAACCCAAACCTATGGGAAAATTATGCATTTTTATGCCTTAGTTGCACAAACAAAACTAACATATATAATTCTATTTTTAAAAAGGACTTATGCTGTAATTTTAATAAGTTGATAGCATGCTGGACTTTGGTGGTTCATGCCTGCAATCCTAGCTACTTGAGAGGCTGAGATCCTAGGAGCACAGTCCAAATCCAACTGGACAGAAAAACTTATGAGACTCATCTCCAATCAACCACTGAAGTGCCAGAATTAGAGCTGTAGTTCAAGTGGTAGAGCACTAGCCTTGAACAAAAACAAGCTAAGGGACAGTACCCTCGGCCCTGAGTCCAAGCCCTAGTACTGACATATGCACATGTACACCGGTCTCTTTATTAGTTTATTTTCTGCATTTGAGAATGAAACCTTTCACGTGACAGTATTGGGGGAGGACCAAGGAAAGCAGAGGGGGGCTTCCTTAGGTTTCATGTCTTGTTCTGGCAGAGAAAAAATCGTTTCTATGACTCTGTTCTTCAAAGAAGGAAAAGAGGGTAAGGAAGGCCAAGAAGTCCTTCCTGCTTCTATTGTCTTCCCAATCTCCTTCATCTCAAACAACATCTTCTAGAGAGCAATCTTTTAAAAATATCCTCTAAGCCCAACACAGAGAATTGCTAAACTGACACTTTGCCATTGTTTATGTTCAATAAACACTGAAAATTCTGTACTTTCTTCTGGAAGATTTGAGCAATTTATTGACATCAAAACAACCTCCTTTTAAGGCCAACTTCTGAACATTTTAGGTTTGTGTTTTGATTCAATAGCTAGGTTTGCTTAAACAGACTCACAGGTTATGGTTCTTTGCAGAAGCCATCTTGAAATTCCACAGCTGCCACTTTCCTAGTAGCTATTTTTTCTTCTATAAGATGCATTAATTTTCACCCTCTATTCCTATTATAATACAGATATTGCTTTTTTTAATTGCTATGGGAGTCATTCTAATAAAGATTTAATTACAAGTAATGTGTGCATGAAGCAATAGCAGAACTATTTCTGCGTGTGGTAGAATTGTGTGTGATCAAGAAATTGATTCCTAGAAAATGAATAGCCCCTAGCTTCAGGATAATTTATGGAGTGGCCAATGAAATTTTAAAAAGTGAAAGTAATTTAGCATGGTGGTAATGACATATTCTTAATGCATTAACACTGTATTTTTTTTCTTTGTGCAGGTACCAGAGTTTGAAATTAGAATTTCCTACTTGCCCAGCTGGCAGTCTACCACTTGAGCAATGCTTCTAGCCTGGCTTACTGCATGCTAATTGGAGATGGAGTCTCCAGACTTTTTTTCCAAGGTTAATTTCAATGTGTTATCCTTAGGATCTCAGCCTCCTGAGTAGTTAGGATTAGAGATGTGAGCCACCCAAGGTACTCTGCACACCATTAATGTCAATTTTGAGGAAAGTTTTTGTATAAAGTTGAGATAATGCCTCACAAGAGATCATCTTTAAATTGAAGCAAAGGGTAACTAAAGATCATCTTTACTCTAGAATCTAATCTGGAGCATAGCCAAAGGTGACACAGAGCTGAAAATACTTTGCCCAAGCCAAGAAATGAAAAACTAGTATAGTAAAAGACAATCAGTATTTTCATGAAAAATAATAAAGCAGCATCATAAAAGCTCATATGATAAAAATGAACTACATGAGATTTATATAAAATGATGCAACTGCCACAATTTATTACAAGTTTGATCTTCAGCATAATCATATTTATGTTAAGAAAACTTGTTGTTGATTCCTCAGTGAGACCTGGGAATGCAGTGCCTGGTAGACAGACAGTGGACCACATCATGAAAGTTTATTAGGAGAGCAACCTACTTATATATGTCATACACACTAAAATGTAAATCTTAGTCAGTGGGCATGTGACACTTTCACAAGGCCAAAAGTTTATAGGAGATATATAGGCTAAAAGGTTATAAGATATAGGAGGTTAAAAGATTATAAGACGTATATGAGGTCAAGAAGTGAAAAATATATACAAGGCACAAATGTTTTACCCATAGGAGAAGTGTCAAGGGGTTGTTTGTGTTTATGGTGCCATTAAGAGGGGGTACAAAGAGCACATCCCAGTGCTTTCCCGGAGGTCATGATCCCCACATCCAAACTTTCAGACTCACAGTTTTCCTTTTCCCTCCTTGAGGCCTGTGGCTAGATTCTCCAGCTGTTGCCAGAACTTATGGAAGAGCTTTCCCATTCTCCTTCTAGCACACATAACCTTGAATAGTGTACAAATCCTCAGGAAGGGTCATTCCAGTCTGTGTCACTGACAAAAACTCATATGCTTCTTTAACTGTAATTGTATGTAATATGTTTCTTTTTATTTTTAATCTCAAATATCATAGATGCCAATCTCAATGGTGCAACTGCCACAATTTATTACAAGTTTAATCTTTAGCAAATAGCTCTTCAGCTCAAGGCTAGCACTCTACTGCTTGAGCCACAGTACCACTTCCTGCTTTTTGGTGGTTTATTGAAGATAAGAGTTTCACAGACTTTCCTCCTGGCTGGCTTTGAACCTTGATCCTCAGATCTCAGCCTCCTGAGTAGCTAGGATTACAGGCGTGAGCCACCGGTGCCAGGCTTATTTATGTTAAGAAATTGTTGCTGATTCCTTAGTGAGACCTGGGAACGCAGTGCCTGGTAGGCAGAGAGTGGAACACACTATGGACAAAGTTTCTTAGGAGAGCCACAGAGCCAATTCTGATTTTCTAGAGTTAGTTTCAGATGACAATCTCACAGACTTTCCTGTCTATGCTGGCTTCAAACGATGATCCTCTGATCACAGCCTTCAGTGTGAGCCTCCAGTGAGCAGCTTGTAATGTGTTTCTTATAGCTTATGTTTTGAGTATTGTTAGAAGAAAAATTATACAGAAGCCTACCTTAAAGCAAATAATTCAATAACAGTACTTCATTAAGAGAATTTTTAAAAATAAATCAAGTATACTCCCTTTCTTAGGCCTCTAGGGGTGCATTGGTTCAATGTGTTTCTAGTTTTCTTCTGTGAGTCTCTTCGCACAGCATGACTTCTCACCTTGCCCTTCAATGCTGAAGTCATTTCTGGGTTCCATGCTCCTCAGGACATTCAAAATGCAGCTTCATTCATACTCACCCCCCATACTCTTCAATTTCTGCCTTTCCTGTATCTAAAAATTATCTTAAAAATTCATCCACTAGTAAACTGTTCGAATTGGTTAAATAAGTATGATAGAAATGTGGACACTCTTTAAAAAGTTTTTTTTTTATTGTGGGGCTGGGAAAGTGGCTCAG